AAAGCATTCCATCTTTATTGAATAAATTGATAAATGTAACAATAAAAAAAAACTTTAAATACAATGCAATAAACAATAAAATTATAATGCTTATAAATTAACAATAGTAATACCTTTCATTAAACTGTTCCTCTTTTAAACTGTTCCTTGCAGTATAGAAATTTTTTATAAAGTCACTGAAACCTGAACCCAATATTCCTTTCAATTGTTTTAGTAGATTTTGACTTATATGCTAAATACAATGCATATGAAAAGCATCAGGAAATTGTATCATAACTGCAGTATTAATTGCAGAATCACCATCAGTTATGAAAACTCTTGGTGGTATACTGGTTGCTTCTTTTACACATTGAAAAACCCATTCATAGGAGAGCTGTATTTCATCATCAACAATCGCCTGAGCTACAATTCGTGTCTTTAAATTATTGTCCGGAGTGACGAAAAGAAACAATGGACGATTGTAACGGTTAGTTTTGCAGGTATTATCATGCATGACAACATCATGATAGCGTAACCACAAAATTTGTTATTCCGGACTCATCCAAAAAAGATGTGTTAATGATGAAGTAACTGAATCAAACTTCATTGAGATTACCCATCATAGATCTCCAATTTTTTTATCGTGAAGTCTCTTTAACAATAAACCTGTATCCTCTTTATCTGGTGTTACCTCATGATGAAATTTATCGATAGCGTTATAAAGATTGGGCTGGTATATTCTTGTCTTAAATTTTTCTCGAATAATTCAGTATTGTACTGTTGCATTCACTTTAGCAACAATGGTTAAAAATCAAATTTCTTCAAGAATTCCTTCTGGCAATTTTCGTAATGTTGGAATGAATTTACTTGCTGATGGATGACACTCGTATCCAATATAAATATCGTTAAATTTTGTGACTTCTAAATAGCCCTTTCCCTTCTTAACCTAAATATTAACTAGCCATGGATATTCTACTCAACAAGATAACACATTTGATTGTGTTGTTTGTTTGAATATGGCTTTTCCAGCATGGCAATACAAATACCTTCACTTTATTACTTCATTTGTCATTTTATCGATCTTTCCACCATCACCAATTCGTACCCCATGACCTTTAGCGGCCGCATACTTTTTCATGAACTTTGCAACATGATCCCAACTTTGAAAAGATTTACCAACAAAAAGGTTCGTATCCTTTTCTATATCTGCAATTTCATCAGATATACTACGATAAAAATGTTGTTTTTATTAGACTTATATCACCCAATTTATAATACGATATTC